TGGACTCAATTTGCACTATTTCTGGCAGTCTGCAACCCCCCTTGTAGTGTAGTGTAGCCCCTCTGAGACTGACTGAAAGAGAGAAGTTGGCAGCCTGAGCTTTCCTAGACTGGAGCCTACTTCCTTAGATGCATTTGGGTTTCTTAGCTTGGGTTTCCCCTCTCAGTTTCCTCTCTTTAATGTGTTGTTGTTATTGTTGTTGTTGTTGTTGTGTGTCTCCAAGTAGTTTTTGATTCATGGTGACCCTGTCCACCCACAGATTTTGGTATCCACAGGAGATCCTGAAACCAAACCCCAATGCTTGTTGTTGCTGTGTGCCTTCAAGTTGTTTCCAACTTATGGCAAAACCCTATCATGGGGTTTTCTTGGCAAGTTTCTTCAAGGGGGGGGGGTTGCCATGGCCATCCCCTGAGGCTGAGAGAGTGTGACTCGCCCAAGGTCACCCAGTGGGTTTTCATGGCTGAGCTGGGAATCGAACCCAGGTCTCCAGAGTCATAGTCCAGGGTTCAAACCACTACACCGCACTGTAGTGGAGATGATAATTCAGCAGCTGCTCCTTATCCATGGATTCTGCATCCATGGATTCAACCATCCATGGATTGAGAGTATTAAGAAGCAAAAGTTGTTGTTGTTGTTGTGTGCCTTCAAGTCATTTCCAATTTATGGCAATCCTAAGGGAAGCTACTCAGATGGAGGAAATGGAGAGTTACTATTAGTAAGTACATCTGATATTTCAGGGCTACTATAAGAGCTCCCAAGACATCCAATGTAGTGAACCTCTCATGAGGTTTTCTTGGCAAGATTTGTTCAGAGGAGGTTTGCCATTGCCTTCCCCTGAGGCTGAGAGCATGTGACTTGCTCAAAGTCCCCTCAGTAGGTCTTATGGCTGAGTGGGGAATTCCCATACCAGGGATCAAACATTGATAGAAATGGGGACTGTAGTCGGAAATCAGAAGAAGATTAAGAATGGGGAGGGTGGCTATGAAAGAGCTAGAAGAGTTCCTAAAATGCCAAGATATACAACTCAGCACAAAAGTTGGAATCATACAAGCCATTGTAT